TTTTTGGGTCCCCCACAAGCCCTTTTGCGGTGTCCTGAGGAAGGGGAGGAGGGACTGGACAGGACTTGGGGTCTCAGAGGTGGGCTCCTGTTTCAGGCACAGTGGGGTGATTCAGGACCGGGTTTTTGGGTCCCCCCCCAGGATTTTCGGGCCCCCTACGATCCTTTGCAGGGTCTCCTGAGGAAGGGCAGGGGGTGGGTGTTGGGGACAGGTTTTTGGGTTCCCCCGCTGGGATTTCGGGGTCCCCTAGGAGCCCTTGCGGGGTCTCTTGAGGAAGGGTAGGGGGTAGGCGCCGGGGGGGGCGCGGGGGCGGCGCGGCTGCACCTGGGACTGCGCCGTGAGCTGCAGTTTGATGGCACTCGAGTTCACTTTGGCCGCGCGGAGCAGCTCCTTCATCCCGCGCATCTTCTGCGAGCGGAAGCGCAGCACCGGCCCCGGGGGGGGCGCGGGGGGCGGCCCGGGGGGCGCGGGGGCCGGCGGGGCCGCGGGGGGAGCGGGCGGCGTCTCCTCGGGCCGGGGGGCGCGGGGGGGAGGCCGGCGCTCCCCCCCTTTCTTGGGGGTCGGCGGCTCCTCGGGCTTGGACTCGCGGCGGGGGCCGCGGCGTCGGCAGTCCCGGGGGTCCTCGGGGCCCCCCAGCTCCGCCTCAGGGGGGGCCGGGTCCTCCGACAGCAGCGTCACCTGCTGCCGCACCTGGGGGGCCATGGGGGGACAGATGGGGGCTCAGAGGGTCCTGAAGGTTATCGGGGGGACCCTGGAGACCCCCCAGAGGTAATTGGGAACCCCCAGGAGGACATGAGGAAGCCCAGAGCCCACCCAAGAGCCCCCAAACACCCTCGGGATCCCCCCAAAGCCCTCACCTGGCCATCGAAGCGGCCGAGGGACTGGACGAGGAAGGTGGCCCAGCCCACGTGCAGCACCGGGGTGGGGCTCCCCTCCTCCCACCGGCAGATCCCGTCGTAGAACCGCAGCAGGTGAGCGAAGCACTCGGGGTCCTGCAGCGCCGGGAGCCCCCCGGGGGCCCCCTGCAGAGCACAGAGTCAGGGGGGACTCCCAAGGAGGGAAGGACCCCACAAATGGGGACAGGGCCACCCCTGCCCTGGCACCACCAAACATGGCACATCAGGGACACTCCAACCGGGACCCACAAATTCGGCTCCCCCAGATGTGGGGTAACCCCTGGGCTCCCCAGTCCAGACTCCCTGAGGCACCCCCAGATGTGGGGCTCCCTCTTGGACCTCCTGAATGGGGAGCCCTAGGTATGGGACAACACCTGGGGCACCCCAATAGGGACCCCCCAAATGTGAGGCACCCCCAGCTGTGGGACACTCGCCTGGACACCCTAAACAGGGACCTCTGAACATGGGGCACCCCACAAACACCCCAAAATGCACCCCCCCATGTACCAAACACAGCAGGGACACCCACCCTGGACAGGGCCCCCCCCGCCCTACCCAGGGTACCCCCAAACCCGGGGGTCCCACCTCAGCCCCCGGGGGGGGCTCGGCCGCCGCCTCCTTGAGCAGGTTGGGGATGACGTCGTTGGCCACGTCGAAGAATTCCTTGTAGATCTCCTCGTCCTCCCGGCAGTAGTTGTAGCTGGGGGGGCACAGGGGGGCTTGAGAGGCTGCCCCATGGTGGTGGGGGGCACACAGGGCTTGAGGGGCTGCCCCACAGCCATGGGCAGGGCTGGGGACCCCTAAAAGGGTCACAGAGCCTGCAGAGGGTGGGGGAACCCCCGAGAGCCAGGCCCTGGGCAGGGCCCCCCCCCTTTCCTGGCCTCGGAGGTGCCTGTGGGGGCCCCAGGACACCCCACAGACATAGGGGGAATATGGACCCCTAAGAGCCCCCCTGCCCTGCCCCCACCCCCCCAAGCCTCACAGGAGGAGGGAGCCCCCCCAGCCCGGCCCACAGTGAGGGCTGGACCCCCAGGGGTCCCCCCAAGGCCCCCCAGCCCCCCGCTCACTCCTGGATGACGGTGGCCGTGTCAGCCCAGGCCTGCAGGGCCTCCTTGACGTTCTTGTTGCGGCAGTGGAACCCCGCCAGGTACAGGTAGGGGTAGATGTGCTCGTTGTTGTAGTGGGTGCGGGCGGACTGGATGCCCTGAGGGCGATGGGGGGAGGTCAGTGCCCACCCGGGCTCACTCCTGGGCTCCACACAACCCCCCACCCTGGCTCACCTGGTGGTACAGGGTGAGGGGGTCAGGTCTGCCCGGGGTCGGCTCCAGCTCCTCCAGGTCCGCCAGGTTCCCCAGGGCCATGGGGTACCTGTGGGGCAGGTGGGGGGCCGCCCCACAGCGGGTTGGGGGGGCCCCACGGCAGGCTGGGGGGCAGCCCCAAGGCAGGTCGGGGGTCCCTCTCACCTGTCCAGGTGCCCCATGTCGTAAAGCAACCAGAGCAGGCGCTGCAGAGGACAGGGAGGTGTGAGAGGGGACACCCGCCCCACACCCACTGCAGCAGCTCCAGGCTGTCCCTGTGCCCCCCCTGCCCCACCTGCTGCAGCTGCAGCAGCTCCAGGCTGTCGGTGTGGCCGTCGATGGACGGGTTGATGGCACAGACCATAAACGCCACCTCCATGTGCCTCGTGCAGCGCAGGTATGAACCCTTCAGGTACAGCCAGCTCTGGGCAGGGGACACAGGAGACATGGGGGACACGGGCGACACAGGGACACCTCCACCTGTGCCCCCCACCCAGGAACGAACCCTTCAGGTACAGCCAGCTCTGGGGGACATGGGGGGCACAGTGACACAGGTGACATGAGGGGCACAGGGTCACATCCACCTGTGCCTCCCCACACCCCCCACCCCTGTGCTGGGGGCACCATCTGTCCCCAGAGCTCCTCAGCATCCCCACCTGCCCTGGGGACTCCCCTGTCCACCCCCATCCTCAGACCCCACAATCCCCTGGGTCTCCTCTGTCCCCATAGATCCCCCCGGTCCCTGTCCTTATACCCCTGTCCCCCATTCCTCCCTTCCTGTCCCCCATACCCTCTCAGCCCCCCGTGTGTCCCCTCCCTCCCCGTGCCCCCCCGTACCCTCTCTGCCACCCCGGCCTGCACGGGCTGTCCCCTCCTGTCCTCGTTGCCCTTCCCGTGCCAGGTGACCTCGGCGGTCTGGGCCCCTCCGGCCCCGAAGGCCACCCAGGCGTGGTCCTCGCTCAGCGCCAGGTGCACGTCCGGCAGCCCCAGCACCTGGCAGGCCCCGACCACGGCAAAGGCCACCCCTGAGCTGTCCAGCTTCGTACCTGGGGGACACACAGGGGCTCGGGGGGGCTGGGACACCCCCAGAGAGCCCCCCAGCACTTGGCAGGCCCCAGCCATGGCCCCAGGAGGTGCCCAGCTTCGTCCCTGGGGGGGCACAGGGAGGATCAGGGACCCCCCAGCTCCCCTCACGGGTGATGAAGCTGAAGAGGGACTGGATGTGTGGGGGGCCCTTGAAGCAGGAGCGGCTGAGGCTGTTCCAGGTGTCACCCCAGGACCCTGTGTGACCCCCCAGCACCCCCTCAGCCCCCCATACCAGTGATGAAGCTGAAGAGGGACTGGATGTGGGCCCTGTCCTTGAAGCAGGAGCGGCTGAGGCTGTTCCAGGTGTCACCCCAGGACCCCGTGTGACCCCCCAGCACGCCCTCAGCCCCCCATACCAGTGATGAAGCTGAAGAGGGACTGGATGTGGGCCCTGTCCTTGAAGTAGGAGCGGCTGAGGCTGTTCCAGATGACATCGGACACCTTGCGCACGAGCTCCCGGGAGGAGCAGCCGTCGGGCCGGGGGTACAGGGACAGGTCCACGGCCCCCCGGATCTGGGCCGTGAACCGGGCGTAGAGCGCGGCCACGATGGACAGCTCGGCCACCGGGAAGTACAGGCGGGTCTGGGGGTCCGGCCCCGGGCGGGACTCAAAGGTGACCCCGGGGACGTTGGTGGGTAGGACGCGGTTCACGGCCAGGAAGTGCTCGACGAATCCCAGGACCAGCGAGAGCAGCACCAGGTCGGGCTCGGGCTGGCGCAGCTCGGCCTCGAACAGCCGGATCACGGCGGCCACGGAGCGGAGCGGGAACAGCGCCTTCTGCCACGGCTTCAGCCCCATCCTGGGGCCTGGAGGGGGAATGGGGATTTATGGGGCTTACAGGGTGGTTTAGGGTGTCGCAGGGTTCAGGGGCTCAGCCCCACCACGGTGGGCACAGAGCAGGGACGGAGCTTTCTGCCATGGCTTCAGCACCGTGGTGGGGCCTGGGGAGGAATGGGAGGGGTCAGAGGGACAAAAAATGGGGAGCCCAGGGGGTTCGAGGGGTCACAGCACCTCCTCCAGAGCTTGAGGCCCAGAGCGGGTACGGGGGGGCAAAGGCGGGGTCACAGAGGGGGCTGGGGGGTCAGGGGGAACAGGGGGAACAGCAGCTTCTGGCCGAGCCCATGGAGGGGGCTGGGGGGT